TTTCTTTGTTGTTTATTTTCTTTTGCTATTGTTAAGGTATTCTCCCAAAATGGCCCTGGGGGTTACAATTAACATTTTAACTTTAAAATCCAGTTTGAATTAATACCAACTTAACTTCAATAGCACACAAAAGCTTTGCTCCAATATAGCTCCATTCCTTTTTCCTTCCTTTGTACTATTACTGTCATACAAATAACATCATTATACATTATAGACCTATCAACAGTTTTATAACTATTTCTTTATGCGGATGTCATTTAAATCAGATAGGAAAAGAAAATAATTACAAAAATATATACTTATATTGCCTTTTATATTTAAATATATAGTCACCTTTATGGATGCTCTTTATTTCTTCACATAAATTCAAGTTACTATTTATTGTCCTTCACATAAGTCTGAAGGACTCCCCTCAGACTAGAAATATTAGGACAGGTCTGCTAGCTACAAATTCTCTTTTTTGTTTTTCTGGGAATGCCTTAATTTCTGCTTCATTTTTGAAGGATGGTTTTGCTGGATATAGGATTCTTGTTTGAAAGAATTTCTTTCATCACTTTAGCTATGTAATCTTGCTGCCTTCTGTTCTTTACGGTTTCTAATGAGAAGTTATGTATTTATTTTATTGATGATTTTTGAAGGATGGTTTTGCTGGATATAGGATTCTTGTTTGAAAGAATTTCTTTCATCACTTTACCTATGTCATCTTGCTGCCTTCTGTTCTTTACGGTTTCTAATGAGAAGTTATGTATTTATTTTATTGATGAGTGTTTTTTGCCTTGCTGCTTTCAAGATTCTTTGTCCTTGTCTTTTAACAGTTTGACTTCAATGTTTATAGGTGTGGACCTCTGATTTTATTCTATTTAGAGTTCATTGAGCTTTTTGGATGTACAGATTAATGTATTTTTCTTAATCAAATTAAGGGAGTTTTCTGCTATTATTTCTTTTTCTTTTTGCTTCTTTCTCTCCTTTTGGCAATCCCATTATGCATATGTTGATATGCTTGATGATGGCCCACATCTCTGAGGCTTTGTTCATTTTACTTTGTTCTTTTTTCTCAAACTGGATAATCAAAATTGATGAGTTTGAGTCTAATTTCTCCTTCTGCAAGTTCAAATCTGCTGTTGATCCCCTCTAGTAAATGTTTCATTTAGTTACTGTACTTTTCAACTCCAGGATTTTTGCTTAGCTATTTTTTTATAATTTCTATCTCTTCATTAATATTTTCTATTTGGTGAGATATCCCACTCATTCTTTCTTTTAATATTTTAGCCATTGTTCCTTTAATTCTTTGATCATATTTACAGTATGATCATATTTACAAATTTCTGGGGAATTTGTATGTGTTTTGTTTGTTTGTTTTCTATGCATGGGCCATACTTTCCCACTTCTTTGCATGTCCTATAACTTTTTGTTAAAAACTAGATATTTTAAATGACAACTCTGGAAATCAGATTTCCCCTCCTCCCAAGTTTCTTTGTTGTTTTTTGTTATTGTTTCGCTTTGTTTTGTGTAAAGTCTGTATTCTTCTTCATGTGTGACTACTGAAGTCTCTACCCAATTATTGTAGTGGTCAGTTAATGATTGCACAAATATCTCCAAAAACACCTGGAACCAATAAAATTCCCAGCCTTTGCTGAGAAACTGTGTGCATGTTGGAGTACTCCTTCAGCACTCAACTAAGCAGTTTACAATTCTGCATGGGAGCCTTGCACTTTGGCCTTGCAGTCTTAAGGTCAGCCAGAGTTAATGCTTAGGGTTTCCTCAGGTCTTTTCTGAACATGCCCACAGCCTTGGGCATGCACACCATCCTACACATGCATGTGGTCTTCTAGATTTCCAGGAATCTGACAGAGATTTTCAAAGCCCCCTATGGATATCTCATTCTCTGGGTTTCTGTTGGTGGTGGTGGTAGTTTAAGTTTTTGGTCAGTCTTTTTTTAGCCGTAATAACTTCGTATAGCATACATTATACGAAGTTATACGACACACAACACCTCCAGCTAGGGCTCTTGCCAAAGATGTTCACCCAGTGGGCATCAGGATGCCATCAGATAAATGTAGCATCCATGGGACAAGTGATTTGGACTCTTTAACACACTCAATGTTATATAAAAAGAAGGGGGAGTAACAAAGACTAAGGAGACAAGGGCCAATTGGGGACATTCAGATATGGACCATTAGATGGCCTTATTGAGTTGGTGCTAATTTCCTTAGTGGAATAATGATATTGGGGTCACATGGACAATGTGTGCTGCTGAAGTACTTAAAAGAGAAGTTTATGATGCCTGCAACTCACTTTCAAAGGATTCGGCAAGCAAACAAACCAAAAAAATTTTATATGTATAAATATGTATATACTGATATGAGTTTAATATGTCCCCCAAAGTTTCATGTACTAGAAACTGAATCTGCACTATGACAGTCTTAAGAGGGTGGGAAATCCTATTATGATATTTGAAAGATGGGGCCTTTAAGAGACGATTAGATTGTGAGGACTGTACCCTTGTGAATGGATTGATCCATTCATACATAATGCTCATGGTTCTGATGGCTTTATAAAGAGAGCACATGAGAAGTTTAGCTCCATCTCTCTCTTGCTCCTGCCATCCTCACCATGTGATACCCAGTGTTGCTGCAGAGCCACCACCACCAAGGCCCTCACCAAATGTGTTCCCTGGACTTTGGACTTCCCAGACTCTGAAACTTACGTAAGAAATAAATTCTATTTTTTAGGCCGGCCCGTGGCTCACTCGGTAGAGTGCGGTGCTGATAACACCAAGGCCACGGGTTCGGATCCCATATAGGGATGGCCGGTTTGCTCACTGGCTGAGCGTGGTGCTGACAACACCAAGCCAAGGGTTGAGATCCCCTTAAAAAATAATGGCAACTACACACAGAGAGAAAAAACTTAGAGAAAGTTTTGCAATCATTAAAAAATAACACTATTTTTAAAAAGGAGCACCCAAAAGCAAAAAATGAGCTCTTTATAAATAAAAATATGATAGAAACATTTTCAGAAGAGTTGGAAGCTAAAGTTGAGGAAATCTTCCAGAAAGTAGAGCAAAATAAGTAAGTAGATAAAAAGATGAAGAATAGGAGAGGCAATATAGGAAAATCAGAAAGTCAGTCCAAAGAGCCAATATTCAAATCTAGTATTTCAGCAAGAGAGAATAGAGAAAATGGAGGAAAGCAAGTATTCAACAAAATCAAAAAGAAATTCTGACTGAGGACCTAAATTTTTAGACTGAGGTCCTATCAAGCACTCAGGCAATGGATTTAGACTCACTCCAAGGAACATTATTGTGAAATTTCAGAACCCTGGGGATGATGAGAAGATAAAAGTTTTTAGAGATAAAGAAAGACAGAGAAAAGAAAGTGAGGAGGGAAGAAAGAAAAGAACATGCCACATACAAAGTATCAGGAATAAGAATGATATTGGAATCATCAGAAACATGAGAAGCTAGAAAGCCAGAGGTTCATGGAGTAAGCCCTCAAAATCAAATGATTTTTAAAATACTCAGCCAAACTATCAACCTATTGGAAGGACCTAACAAAGACATTTTTCAGACCTGCAAGGTCTTTAAAATTTACCTCCCTTGCATCATTTCTCCTGGAGATACTAGAGATGTGCTCCACTCAAGCCAGGGCATAAACCAAGAAATAAAGATATATAATATAGGAAATAAGAAAGCCAACACAGAAGAGAAGCAAGAGGAACACCCAACATAATGGTAAAGGGAGACACCGGGACGACGCCCAGACTCATAAATTGTGAATAAAAGCCGTTTAGATCTATAAGTAAATTTAATGGTTTTTTGCTTTTTTGTTGTTGTTGTTGTTAAAGATGACCGGTAGGAGGAGATTAACCCTTGACTTGGTGTTGTCAGCACCACGCTCTCCCAAGTGAGCCACGGGCCGGCCCCTAATTTAATGTAATTTTGTATTTTGACAGACAACTGGTGAAGAATTTGGGGTAGAATTTGTGATAAATAATGGAATGTTAACTAATCAAACAAACAAAAAAACAAGGTAATTAATAATTCCATGGAAAATAAAAAGCTGTGCAGAAAGGAAAATTAATCAAGTCCATATAGGAGTATAGACCTCAGATACGTTTTGTTTGGCTTACACCCCCCACCCCCGACCGCCCCTCTTCCTTATTTTGTAATTAAATGCCAGTATTTAAAAGTCGGGAGGGGCCGGCCCGGTGGCGCACTGGAGAGTGCGCCGCTTGGGAGCGCGGCGGCGCTCCCATCCGAGGGTTCGGATCCCACATACAGACCGGCTCCCGCTCACTGGCTGAGCGAGGCGCGGGAGCAACACGGAGGCTTGCGACCCCGTTGCCGGTCCCCAGTCCGGTACGGGGGCAACACTGAGGGTTGCGATCCGTTGCCGGACACAGAAAAAAGACAAAAGACAAAAAAATAAAATAAAAAAAAAATAAAAGTCGGGAGACTGCACATAAAAAAAAAAAATCTAAAATTCTCGATTTTTAATTGCTAGGCCTACACAAATCGCCTGCATTTCCGCAAGAAGACCTGCAGCTGGGGCTGCAAATGTGCGGTCTCGAGTTCTCCAGTCTCCACTCGGCCGCCGTTCCAGCCCCGACAGGCCCACAGTCGCCCACGCCGGCAGCCCTCTACCGCTCCTAGCTCTCCTAGAGCCACGTGGCGCGAACTCCGCAAGAGCACGGAGTACTGGCCGCAACGCACCGAAACCTTGCAGCCTTCGTTTCCAGGTTCTTTCTCATTATCCCTCCAATTTTTTCTCAGCTTCCCATCACCCATTTATCACTGCCCTTCCCACCGCGTTACTTGTGCCGGCAGCAAAGATGCCGCCCAACAGGAACGGGGAGGCGAGCGTGGCTTCCGGCCGCACGGCGCGCGGCGAACCTCACTTCCGGCGGCGCTGAGTGACGTAGGCGAGCACGCCGGCCCGCCTGAGGCTCGGGACGGTGCGGGCGGCCTGTGGAGGTCAGCGGTGGTGTTCCCTGCGTAGGTCTCGCGTCACGGGGAGAAGGGGCTGCGGAGCGTGGGTCCTGAGGGCATGAAGGTGTGGCTAGGAAGGGACGAGAGGCGCTGGTACGCGGTGGGCCCGGGAGAGCGGGCGGGCGGAGCGCTGGAACTCGGGCCCAGGGAAGGGGGCAGGAGGGGTGGGGCCCTGGGCCCGGGGAACCGGGCCAGCATGGCGCTAGGATGCGGTGGCCTGGCCGGCAGCCCGTTCGTGGCTAACCCGCCAATGCGCACGGGTCTCTCTGTCTTCCCCGCGGGGCCCGGCCGGGAAAGCGCCACCCAGTTGACTCTTCGTGTTTTCGTGACTTCGTGTAGGTCGTTGCCTCTGCATTTTAGCACCAGACTTCCTGCTTGGTATTTGCCTAAACCCAAGTCCAGCTTCTGAATTGCAGTTTCCTCCTCTAAACTGCTCTTAGGGCTTTTTTTTCTTTTTTAATCGGAAATCGAGAATTCTAGATTTTTTAATCGTTAGGTTTAGACAAATTGCCTGCATTTCCGCAAGAAGACCTTCGTCTTCTTTTTCTTCAAAATCAGTTTCCAGGGCTTCCCTGCTGTGCCTGGGCTCGGGAAGTGTTGCACTTGGGCAAATATTCCTCTCTGAGCCTCATTTTTTTTCCTTTATGTGTACATAGAGTTAAACTAAGCTTTTACAGCTGTAATACTCCACTCATGCAAAACTATGTGCTGGCCGTATACCAAGTTCTGGGAAATGGAAGAAGATCAAACATGCTTTCTGCTTTGGCAGAAGCTAGGCCAAGGTTAACGTTTCATCTTGCCCCTGTCATATGCCCTACCTAGGTCATTCAGTCAACCTAGTGAGCAAGAGTGACAGGTAGAATTGTTTAAAGCTACATGGTAGGGATATGTAACAAATTCTTCGGGGAGATAACATTTTGTCTGGGCCTGGAAAGATGAAGTGTGTTTTGCTGGACCCTTTGATAGAAGTGGGGGGGCCGTCCAGAGGTAAGCCCTGCCAGGTGAGGTGGAAGTGCAAGGCCTGATTAGAATGGGGGCATGTATTGTGAGGAAGGAGAGGGGATACAACTAAGAAGATACTTCTGGGCCATCTTACAAAGTGCTTTTTTACAGTTGGGTCACTTTTGCTCTTGGAAGTTTGTGAGGTTTTTTTGTTTTGTGAGTAAGTTAGTGATGTAATCTACGTTGGTTTTGGGAAGCTCTTGCCCATGTCTGTAGTGTTAAAATATCCACAGAAGCTTTGGGAATGTGAATTGTGTGGCCTAGGTTTTTCAGGATCGTTCTGATGTAAAATATCCTGTACTGTTTTTTCTGTAAACCAGTAATTCTTAATCTTATTTACCTCTGCAGTAAATTAATGCCATCTAAGCCCTGTGTGCAAAGAGATTCCCATTCAGAGGTCTTGGGCAGGACCTGGGAATTCTGAATTGTCGAACCACTTTCTTGGTGATTTTGAAGCACAACCAAAACTGAAAACCCCCTTGGGCCGGCCTGTGGCTCACTCGGTAGAGTGCGGTGCTGATAACACCAAGGCCACGGGTTCGGATCCCATATAGGGATGGCCGGTTCGCTCACTGGCTGAGCGTGGTGCTGACAACACCAAGTCGAGGGTTAAGATCCCCTTACCGGTCATCTTTTTAAAAAAAAAAAAAAGAATATTTTGTTAAATATGTTTAAAAAATAGCTTGGCATGAAGTTAACAATATAGTTTAGCTGTCTGTTTCAGTACACTGCTGAAAGCACTGACAAAGTGCTTAGTAGTATGCGGTAAGCATTCTCAGTATTAACATATACACAAACATTTCTGAATACATTATGAAGTGTTGCCTAGTGGAAATAATAAGTAGAATTTTTTTTTAATGAAAGAAAATAAAGGAAACAGGTTACTCTTTAATATGTAATAATATGATGTATTTTTACCTATATCTTAGATTTCATTTAGATCAGAAGCTGTTATTGTAAAGATTGTATTTTTTTTTTTTTTTTAGTATGATACAGCTTCCTCTGGTGGGTCTCCAGTATTGTTGAGCATTCCCAAGTTTTTCTATGAAGTATCTAATATTAATTTTGATATTTGGTGGTATTCTACACTGAGACAAAAAACTGAGATTTTTGCCTCAGAAAATACTGTCACATACATACAGAGAGGGTGGCTGTGACTCCATTTTGTTTGTCATGTTTTTTCTCCTAGGTTTTCTTCTAATTGCCCTGTATTACCCTCTTTTCTCTCCTTTTCTCTTTAGGGCTTTAAACTCACTTGCTAGGAAGCTTATCCCCCATCACCCAGGCCATGATGACAGCTTGCCTGGTGAAGCGATGCACGTGCCTCCTGAGAGAAGCTGCCCGTCTGGCCCCTGCTGTGTCTCCGGTTGGCCAACTGAGACTTGCCAGGGTAGCCCATAAGACTCTGACTTCCTCAGCCACCTCACCGAGTTCCCACTTCCCAAGTTCCTTGACGGAGCTGGTGGAAAAGGAACAAGTGTTTACTCCCTACCCAGAGCGCCAGGAGGTGGACGATCTCATCGAGAAAGCCACAAGGGCAGATGAGCTCCTGGAGCTTTCTGGTGGTAGTCACAGCCTGCACCACAACCACGCAGCCCTAATACTTATCCAACTCTCTCGCCTGCTATACGAGAAGCCAGAAGACAAGGCCTCACTCATACAAGATGCCCGCTTTCAGCAACTGCTCCATCTGGTCAACAGTCAGGTGGGTGCCAGAGAGTTTTCTGAGGGCTTGGACAAGAGAGAACAGCTGGAGATGGAGCCCAGAGCAGCCGGCGCCTGCCAGCTATAGAAGGCTCCCTTGACATCCTGTGATAGCTTCATCTTTCTGTAAATTTCAGAGTACTTCCATGTGCTTTCTCTCTGTTTATCCTTACAAGAATCTGTTACATATTTATTGCTGTCCTTGTCTCACAGACAGGCAACCAGGAAGCTAGCCTGGTTCTTCTCCATTCCTTGGATCCTTTCCCCAACCATTCAGTCTTAGCTGTGTTGCTCCCTGCAGTGTCTGGCTGACAGCTGGGCACTGCTCTTGAAGTCAGAGGAGATGGAACATAACTGATGGAAGGTCAATGAAACTTGAACCGGCCATAGGCATAATCTAGCCACATTCAGACCCTCAGGATGGGCATGAAGAGAGGAGATGAGATCCATTTGTGTGGCACTGGGGGCAGATCTCAGACTACGGAAGCTGCTTTCTGCTCACTGTGAGGAAGGACTCCCTTTATACAGGGTCATCTCCTGGCCTCTGTGGCAAAAAAAGGATGTACAAAGCCCTGCTGTGCCCGAATTGGCCCCCAGTCCCGGGTCTGTGCTGGGAGGGAGGTGCTTAGGCACTGAGACCCTGTGCCCAGTTGTCAGGTGTGAGGAAGAGGATAGGTATGACTCAAGGAAGGGGCTGCACTAAATGAGCATCATGCTGCAAGTTATAAAATTAGTGTAGTGGGACATGGCCAGCTGTTTTGTTTTGTTTTTGTTTCTTAAAGATGACCGGTAAGGGGATATTAACCCTTGACTTGGTGTTGTCAGCACCACGCTCTCCCAGGTGAGCTAACCGGCCATCCCTATATAGGGATCTGAACCTGTTGCCTTGGTGTTATCAGCACCACACTCTCCCGAGTAAGCCATTGGCTGGCCCTGCCAGCTGTTTTTTAATGAGGTGGAGTAGTATAGAAAATACCAGAATTCGGGCCGAGCCCGTGGCGCACTCGGGAGAGTGTGGCGCTGGGAGCACAGCAGCGCTCCCGCCGCGGGTTCGGATCCCATATAGGGATGACCAGTGCACTCACTGGCTGAGTGCAGTGCGGCCGGTCTCAGAAAGGACAAAAAATAAATAAATAAATAAAAAGGAAAAGGAAAAAAAAAAGAAAATACCAGAATTCACACAAAGTAAGGGGAGTGCTGTCTTGTGGAACTTTGTTTTAGTTAAGTACATATGTGTTATGTGTACTGGAGTCACAGTACACATTTATTTCTTGCTGAGACTGTAGCTCATAACATGAACTTAATTAGGCCCCTTCTTGTTCTCAGGTAGTAATTCTAATTGTACTTACTATTGTGCACATAATTGAAGCAAGTCTTACAATACAAGACTGAACATTGTTTAACAGAATTATAAGACAAAGTGGGAAAAAGTATTTGCAAAGCCAATGAAGACCGAGCTTTCTTTTAAAAGATTTTCCTGCTATTCAGGCAACTAGAATGACGCAGATACCTCGTGTGAGCGGAGGATTGACTATTGCTTTCTCCTTCCTCCCCAACCATTCAGACACCAGCTTCTCTGTTCCCAGCTTACCTCCTCGTGTGTGAGGGTCAGTGCTGAGAGGCTTGGCACTGGCAGAGCCAGAGCTGTACTCATTTTACCAACTGTTGTTTTCTGCCAGGACAGAGTCTGGGTCAAGGGCTCTTGTTGGCACGTTGGGCCTGGATCTCTGAGGACGGGACGCTCCTGCACAGCAGAGTCAGCCTCTGCAGAAATGAAGCCGGCACCAGTGGGGGATGACAGGGCTGGGGTGCAGGGTGTGGACCCAGAACAACTCTTGAGACTTTGGGGTAATGAGTTTGCATTTGTGTATGCTGTGGAGCTGATGAGACCTCACAGGATGTTGGCATCTCATGCAGGCACAGGCGTAGCATGGTGCTGGCATGTAGAAAGAGACTGTGCAGAGGGGCTGGTGGTGGCAGCCACAGCTTGCTCATCCCCAGGAGGCCTTGGCATTTGGGTGAGCTGGGCTTAATAATACGAGGGGGTCTTTACCCACAGGTCAAAGGCTTTCCTGCGAACCTTCACGAATGGGAAGACCTGCCTCCGTGGGCAGTCAAGGGTCTGGCATGCCTGGGTTACACCACTGGCGGGTGAGGGCGATGGTGCTCGAGCCTGGCCTGCTCTGCAGGTTGGCCTCTCCTGCAGCTGCATTCCTCAGACACTTACAGTTGTTTTTGTTGGAGAAAGCTTAGGGTTTAGAGCTTCTCAGACTCAAAATAACAATTATTTTCCTGAAGAAGCCAGTGTTCTTAATAGCTAAAAATTTTAATTGTCATTGTAAGTAAAAGTAACAGGTTGGAGACAGGCTGATCTTAGCCTGAGTGCTGCCTGTTTTGCCATCAAGTCACACCCCTGAGTCCCCACTCTTCCTCTGACCTTTGGTCTTGACTTGACAGCTTTACTTCCAGCTGGGGTCTGCTGTCCACCACATACAGCTGTGGCTAGGACCACATGATGGGGGCCATGGCTCCATATAATCATCCACATCAGGTCAAATCTGTATTAGGGAAACTCACAGAATTTCTCTCACCACCCGGAGTTCTTGCATGCAAGCCGTAGCAAACAGCCCTGGTCACCCAAAATGGAAGTATTCAATTTAATGGAAGATAGAGGACCAGGCTCAGAAAACAAGCTAAGGAAGGCTGTGGGGGGCAGCCGGGCACCGGGGCCCTGTTATAACAGGATGGGGAATTCTGTCTTCTCTGAAGAGTTGTAGTAAATGCCCGGGAAATGAGGTTTGCAAAGGTGGCTTCCAGCTCAGGCACAGGGTCAACAGGGTGCCACATGTGACCTTGCCTGTGTCCTTTCCCTGTCTAGATAACCTTGGTTTGGCATGGGACACTTGTGAAGCTGCTGCGGAGCCTGTATGCACTGGAGCTCCCCAAGTCTTCCAAGGAACTGCGGTCGGTGGAGCAGGAGGTCCGCTGGCGCCTGCGGAGGCTCAAGTACAAGTACCTGGTCTTCCTGGTAGAGTCCTGTGTCACCTCCATGCAGGAGGAGCACTCCCAGGAGCTGCTGGCTGAGCTGCTCATGCACCTGGAGAGGCGCTGGACAGAAATTGAAGATGGCCGCACACTGGTGGCCATCATGGTGAAGGCCGGGCACCTGTCAGAGACGCTGATGAACCGCCTGGAAGACAAGGTACTGGGGCTGAGAGCAGGCACGCCAGGCCTGCCTCCCTGCAGCTTCGGGCTTGGTCCTTGGGTGACGGTCTTCTGCAGAAAAGAGAGTGTCATGTGCACTGGAACAGGAGCCCTGGAAGCCTCTGTCCAGTCTCAGGCGTCACATGGGGAGGAGCCAGAGGGCTCTGGCAGCAGCAGGTGGTCACTCTGGGACCATGTTAATGAAGCACCACTCGCCCACTTGGCTCCATCGAGCACAGTCTCCTTCCCTTGATTGTTCCTTTATCTTCCTCCAAAATTTCATCACGTGGGTGGTCCCGAGAGGTGGGCATGGCAGGCAGCTCCTGAGGAAACACAGGTGCTGGCAGGCCTGGGCCAGCCCCTGCGTGGCCCAGGCCCAGGACTTTTCTGGAAACGTGTTGCCCCCTTCCTCAGCTTTAGTCCTGCAGTCAAGTCAAATTCAGCCTCTGTTCCTGCCATAGCAGGGGCTGGCCCAGATGGCTGCCACAGCAAGCTACGCAGCTCATGGGCCTTGGGTCCCCTTCCCTGGGACTTGGGGATAAGTTTTACTGCGGACATTGCTCCAGGTCAAGAGGTTCCCTGGGGTGGGTGAGGAGGCAGGCCCTGTACAGACAGGCCTGTGTTGAGTCAGCTCAGGCCCAGTTGCTATCTCACAGGGGCTGCACTGGATGGGACCCCTGCCCCCAGCTCGTCCCACCACCTCAGGCCATCGAGCTGACCCCTGCACGGCTGTGGTTGACAGTGCCTGGAGCTGGTGGAGCAGTTTGGCCCCAATGAGCTGCGGAAGGTGCTGGTGACGCTGGCAGCTCAGAGTCGACGGTCTGTGCCCTTGCTGCGGGCCATCTCCTACCATCTGGTACAGAAGCCCTTCCCTCTGACGAAAGGTGTACTCTTGGACCTGGCCTATGCCTATGGTGAGTCCTTTGGACAGAACAACAGGGTGGAAGGAAGCTCTGGCCATGCAGATGCCTGCAGCTGTGTCAAATTCGGTACCTGCCTACCTGTGGCAGGCACTGGCCCAGAAGGCTGCCATAGAAACACTGTGACTCATGGGCCCTGTTCCTCTCTCCTGGGCTCAGGGATAAATCTGGTTACAGACAGCAAGCCCCTAGACCTCAAGGTTCAGGTAGGGTGGGGCCGGCGGGTTGCTGCTGGCCCTCCCCAGCTCAACCCAGTGGTCTGCCCTGTCCCAAAGGCAAACTCAGCTTTCACCAGACCCAAGTGTCTCAGCGCCTGGCCGCCGACCTGCTGTCCCTCGTGCCCAGCCTAACCCCCAGTGAGGTCGCCCGCTGCTCCAAGTCCTTCGCCTTCCTCAAGTACCTCAACCTACCCTTATTTGAAGCCTTTGCCCAGGTGAGCCAGGGCCTGGCCACTGAGGACAGCTGGGTCCTGGAGGCTCTCCATTCCTGGCCTCAAGTTAGAGGAGCTGGCTCTGTGGGCCTCTGTTGGGAACCATTGCTTGAATCAGGGAAAAGTTAGGCAGCCCTACAGTGCTCACTTGTGGGTGGCAAACATATTTCTTACTTTTTGGTTTATTTGGAGAGAGTTAGTATCATTCCATCTGTCTCAGAGTAGCTGTGGCAGGTAGCAGTGCAGGCGGTGAGGCTGAGCACCACTGGGAACTCTTCCGTAGAGTGCTGACTGCCCCAGAATGGAATTGTAAAGAAAGATGACGCCTGCACTTAAATTTACATTCAACTGGTCTAAACTAAGTTTACTGGTTAGAGAGTATTTTTAAAGTCATTGTCAAAGGGAAGCAGTTTCTAGGTGTCCCTGTTTTCTGTGGGTAGGTGCTGCTGGGTAGAGAAGAGTCTGGCTCTGTATAAATCGCCCCATGTGACCAGGTGTTTATGGGCACTGGTGGGGGTGGGGGGGTCCTGTAGCTGCCCCTGGCCACCCAGGCTCCTCTTAGACAGGCAGGAGGACTATGTGCTTGGCAGAGACTTATCCTGTCCCTCTGCCATCCCTGAACTGCCCAGCACATCTTGAACAAGGCAAAGAACATCACCCCGCCCCACCTGTGCAGCATTCTCTTGGCTTTTGCACATCTGAACTTCCATCCAGAACAAGAGGATCAGTTCTTCAGCCTGGTACGGGGGCTGAGTGGTGGGGATGTGGGCCTCCGTGTGAAGTACACCAGCTCGGGGGAGGGAGGGAGCATTCTTTATGAAGCCCTTGGGGTATCTGCAGGGGCAAGCAGACCAGGTTTACCCCAGGCGTCATCAGGGCTTGCCTGGTGCAGTCTGAGAGCAGCCAGCAGGGGCCAACATCTTTGCCTCTTGGATGCTCTGATCCTCTCAGACCAGGTGCCCACTTGGGGACATTATGGAGAACAGATTTTGTGCCCTAGGCCCCTGCCAGTGGGCAGGGGGCATAGGCGAACCTAGCCGAAGGCCAGCATCAGGTATCACTCTGCCATCCAGAGTGGTCTTGGGGCATGAGGAAGGTTCCTGGTGCCTTCCAGCCCTGGGTTGCCCCAGGCCTGACCAAAGGCCAGGGTCTGCTCTCTTGCTCCCAGGAGCCGCCTCTGGCCTCAGAGTGACCAGGTCAAGACCAGGTCATGGGCTGCAGTCCACCTGTGAATACTTGGAGCCCATGGGCAGAGCCTGCTTTCTCCAGTGCACCCTGTCGTTGCACAGGTGCATGAGAGGCTGGGGTCAGAGCTGGCACACCTGGAGCCCTCCCTTCAGGTGGACCTGGTGTGGGCTCTGTGTGTGCTGCAGCAGGCGCTGGAGGCAGAGCTGCAAGCCGTCCTGCATCCCGAATTTCACTCCCAGTTTCTAGGTGAGCCCCATGCTGCCACTGCCATCTCCCCCCTCCCCCCAGCACTACTTTAGCTGGGGAACAGACAGGAGACGGCCAGGGTTCACCCCACCCTTTGCCCCTTCTCCATCCACACCGCGGGTGCTGGCAGACCTTAACTCTGCTGCTTCCTGCCCAGGAGAACCAGCTGGGGCTGGGCATGGGGTGCCACTGCCTTCCCATCTGGGCCCTCCCCATCTCCCCCATGTCTGGTCCTTCTGGCTCGCAGCCCGGCCCCTCCCTTCTCATTCTCTCCTTGTCCCCTAGGGGGCACATCTCTGAAGGATCAGAGCACCTTTCAGAAGCTGCTGCACATCAACGCCACAGCTTGCCTGGAGCACTCTGAATACACAGGCCCCCTTCTGCCGGCCTCGGCCCTGGTCCCCAGGCCCTCAGCCCTTGACAAGAAGGCGACTCCCCTGCAGAAGGACCTGCAGGAGACTCTGAAGGGGCTGCTGGGGAGCACTGACAGGGGCAGCCTCGAGGTGGCCACGCACTATGGCTGGGTGCTGGGTGAGGGTTCCCCTGGTTGATGTCACTTGAATATAACAGGACTTCCCCAGAGCTGCAGGGCATCGGCTTGCCCTGCCCCCCTGCCCATCTCTGTCCATCTTTCTCTGAGGGACATTCCCACCATATACTCATCCCACATGCCTTCCTCAGATGCTGAGGTGCTGCTGGACAAAGATGGTCAGTTTCTGCCCCTGAGGGACTTTGTCGCCCCTCACCTTGCCCAGCCAGCTGGGAATCAGCCGCTGCCTGTGGGGGCTATGAGGTAGGTGGCCAGGGACCCACTGATGCAGTGGCTCCACAGCTCTTGGGAGCACACATGGCTCTCTTCTCTGCTTTTCCTCTTCCTCCTCTGAGGGGCTGGGAGAGCAGACACCTGTCAGCCCCTCCTTCTTCCTGTCAGGCTGGCTTTCCTGCGGTGGGAGTTCCCCAACTTCAACAGCCGAAGCAAGGATTTGCTGGGTCGCTTTGTACTGATGCGGCGCCATGTGGTGGCTGCAGGCTTCCTGGTGGTGGATGTGAGTACCTGGTGGGGAGCAGTTGCTGCATAGGGAGAAGCCCCCACTCACACTGGAGTGGGGTCAGGTGGGGTGAAGCCAGGCCTAGAGCCAGACAGGTGCCCGGCCTGTAGCACCCAGCCCATCACCCCTGTTGCCTGCCTATCCTCTCACAGGGGAGCCCGTGCTTGGCTCCCCTGGGTGCATTGGAAGGTCGTAACTTTGGAAGCAGACAGGGTTGGGCTCCCCACTCACATGAGGAAAACAAAGTTTGGGGGAGCGCAAGGACTGCTGCTCAGTCTCCTCAGTCAGGGCTTGTTTTCACAAAGACTAGATGGCACGACGCCTGGGCTGGGTCCACTGCTGTGGGCTGGCACGGTGCTCCCACTAGGGCTTGGCGAGACCAGAGGGCGCCTGCTTTGCCCTCAAGGGCCAGAAAATAAACGTGTGGCTCCGTGAACCACATAAGGGTTCTGTCACGTTTTCTCCTTTGGGTGGGTACTTTTTTAAAAAAACAACCCATTTAGATTTAGAGTCTTCTTGGGCCTTGTGTAGTTTGCAGACCCCCGTGGCACTGACAAAACCAGGGCCTGTCCCCACCCACGCTGCCTGCAGCTCCACAGGCTCTCCCTTGAGCACTTGGAGGCCGAAGGGTAGGTTTGCAGAGCAGTCAGTCACCAGCAAGTGCCAGTGGGTGAGCCACTGGCTGGGCACAGGCAGGAAGGGGGTCCCCTCACCCACGTGACCCGTCTCTGCCTCCTCTCTCCAGGTCCCGTACTACGAGTGGCTGGAACTCAAGTCTGAATGGCAGAAAGGTGCCTACCTCAAGGACAAGATGCGCAAAGCAGTGGCTGAGGAGCTGGCCAAGTGACCAGTCCCATCAGCATGGACTGCATTCCTGGGGGCTCCTCTGCCAGGAGGTGCTGGGTGGGCAAAAGGTGTCACCCTTGCAGCCCATCCTTCTTAGTGCAGGACCTTGGCCAGGGTGGGGGGATGGCCAGCAGCTCTGAGGGACAGATGGTCCTCTCATGGGTAATAAATCTTTAATTTTGATGTTGACACCAGGAGACTTCCAGGCTTTGTCGCACACACACCCCTGCGCACCTGGGTGTGTGCTTCGGAGGGCAGGAAGTGACTACCCTGTGCGCTCCCCACCCCCAGCAGAACTTTGTCAGGGAGGCAAGGAGCCCAGCAGAGGAGGACTGACTGGCTTGAGGGACACAAGACCTAAGTCTGTCCCAGCTGCTTTCTGCTTCCCACAGGGGACCCTTCCCATCATCTGTGTGTGTCACACGTGCCAGCCTGTTGTCTAGGGCCCTCTGTCAGCCCTGGCAGACACACGGAGTCCTAGAACTGTGAACCTCCGGGGGAGCTTCCCAAGGAGGCCAGTTGGGTTTTCAGTGCATGGCAGGGGTTGTGATGGAGCTGTGGTCACTGAACCACGGTCCTAGGAGGCTTCCGCCCATCCGTTGTTTCACACTTAGGTGAGTGGAAGGGACCCTGACAGCCTGTGGTGATAGGTAGTGTGAGGGATGGGCACCTGGGAAGTTCTGGCTCTGGGAGAGAACAGCTGCCTCAGCTGACACTGCAGGGCTAGGAGCCAGACTCTGCTGTTGTCACTACCACCTGGCCAGATCCTGCTGCTGCTGTCATTACCACCTAGCCGAAGTTGGCCCAGGGTTGAAAAGCAACAGGGTTTTGCCCTTCCAGTCTCATCAGACTCCCGCTGGCAGAACTGAGGAAAGGGAGTCAGAACTGTGGGTTGCCTCCAACAATGCGTGCAGGGGCGTGGGGGAAGCAGTTAGCAGCTGAGAACAAAGGAGACTAGTCTCGCCCCTCAGCGCTCCACCTGGAGCCATTCCCCCAAAAAGAGCAAGTCTAGTCCCTGCTATGCTTGCAGCCTGGCCACTCAGGCGTTAGGGTGGCTTCGTGCCAACAGCACAGGGAGCCGTAGGGCACAGGTGAGCAGAATGCAGGTCACCAAAGGAGTGGTCCCTAACAGTTGGAGGGAGAGGGTGGAGGAGCAGCCAGAGTGGCTTTCTGAAGGTGGAGGAGGAGCATTCCAAAGGGAAGTAACAGATTGCAGGGACGAGGCCAGGGAGGGCCTGTGTGTATGGTACTAAGGAAATAAAAACTCGTCCTGTCCACCACTTGGGGCCACTGAGTTATTTTGACAATCTTGGTTTCCCATGCAGTTGTGAGAAACAATCCACTGATTCCCTCAGCGGTAGAACTCGGGTGCAGGGTCACACCCCGACACTGATAAGAACAGAAGTCAAGCTTGAGAACACCTCCATTCCCACTAGGACCCCTCACCTTGCCCTTTATACTCAACACCTCCCCCTTGTCCATAACCACCGGTAACCATGAGTCTTCACCTTTTCTGGTACTTTGTCATTCTAAGAATGTTACAAAGGAAATCAAAGGATGTGGACTTTGAGAATTGGGTTTCTTCACTTGGCAGAATTCTCTGAGAATCTGAATTCTCATTCAAATTGTGGGATGCACCAGTAGTTCATTCCTGTTCAGTGCGGTTGGACCTCTGCTGCTCTTTATTCCATGGTGTGGCTATAACACTCACCTGTTTACCCACTTACCCATTGGAAGGCATCTGAGTTGTTTAATTTTTTACTATTACTAATAAAGTGGCCATAAAATCTGTCCAGGTTTTTGTGTAAGTTTTCATTTCTCTAGGATAAATATGCCCAGGAGTGCAACTGCCAGGTCATAGGAATTTTATGTGTTGAGTTTTTTTAGAAGCTATCGAGATGTTTTCTAGGGTGGCTGTACCATTTCACATTCCCACCAGCAGTGTAAGAGGGACCTAGTTCCTCCACATCCTCACCAACATTTGGAGGTGTTTAATTTTTGTTTATTTTAGTAATTTTTATAGGTGTGTAGCGACATCTCGTGGTTTTAAGTTGCACTTCCCCAATGGCTGGTGATAATGAACATACTTGTATCTCTTTTTGATAAATTGAAAATATTTATTTGCAATCTATCCTCATGAAATGTCTCTTCATGTCTTTTGCACGTGTTATAATTAGATTGCTTTTTTATTAGTTTTGAGAGTTTTTTCTATATATTCTAGATACCAGTCTTTCATCAGAAATGTGATTTGCAAATATTTTCTCCCAGTCTGTAACTTTTTTCATACTGTTAAGGTCTTTTGCAGAGCATAAGTTTTAAAGTTTGATGAAGTACACTTTATCCATTTTTATGGTCATACTTTTGGTGTTAAGTCTAAGACTTCTTTGCCTAACCTTTGGTCCTGAACTTTGGAGTGTTAGTTTTTATATTTTACATTTAAGTCCATGATCCATTTTTTTTTTTTTTTTTTTTTTTTAAAGATGACTGGTAAGGGGAACTCAACCCTTGGCTTGGTGTTGTCAGCACCACTCTCAGCCACTGAGCAAACCGGCCATCCCTATATAGGATCCGAACCCGTGGCCTTGGTGTTATCAGCACCGCACTCTACCGAGTGAGCCACAGGCCGGCCCCCATGATCCATTTTGAGGATAGAATTTGCATGATTTTTGTGAGTCTTAACTTGAGGGTTTTTTGTTTGTTTTTGCCTCCAGATGCCCAGCTTCAGAACCATTTGTTTAGAAGCCTGTCCTCTCCCATTGGCTTGCTCTTATACTAAAAAATCACTTGGGGGCTGGCTGGTTAGTTCAGTTGGTTAGAGAGCAGTGTTGATAACACTAAGGTTGAGGGTTCGGATGCCCATACAGGCCAGCTGCCAAAACAAAACAAAAATACAAAAATAAAATCAACTGGACATACTTGTGTGGGTCTATTTCTGGGGTTTTTTTGTGTGTGTGCCATTAATTTGTTAACTGTTCCTGTACCAATATTTCATGTTCTTCGTTACTGTAGCTATAATGTAGGCCTTAGTATTGGTTAAAGTGAGCAGGTCCTACTTTATTTTTCAAAATTAGTTCAACTATTCTAGTTCCTTTGCCTTACCAAGTAAATTTTTGAATAATCTGTTCTATGTCTACGAAAAAAACCTACTGAGATTTTAATAGGAATTCCATTAAACCTACAGGTCAATTTGGAAAGATTCAATATTTTTACTGTGTCAAATCTTCCAATCCATGATCACAGTATGTCTATTTATTTAGGTCTTTGATTGCTTTCATCAGCGTTCTGTGGTTTTTGTTGTGTTAAATGTACACCTAAAGTATTTCTCATGTTTTTTGGAGTGACTGTGTAATTGTGTTCTTAATTTTTGTATTAACATGTTCATCGTTAGTATATAGAGTGGGATTGATTTTTGTGTGACTTTGCTATACTCCCTTATAGTTTTATGCATTTTTTCTTTTTCTTTTTCTTTTGGATTTCCTATGTAGACAGTCACGTCTTCTGCAAATGAGGATATTTTTCTCTTCTTTTCCAATCTGTATGCCCTTTATCTTTTTTATTTCTAACAGCTTTATTAAAATAATTTACATGCCATACAATTCACCCATTTAAAATGTATAATTCAATGGTTTTTAGTCTCTTCGTGGATATGTACAATCATCATCACAATGAATTTTCATTTTTATTACCTCATAAAGAAACCATGTACCCTTTAGTTAACACCTCCGTGTCCCCTCATCTTCCCACCTTCCCGACCTGCAGGGGCGCATCATATCCCAAAGACTAAAAGTCTGATAAAGATCTTTTAATGAAACACGGTGTTTGCAGGGCCTCATCGTGAAGGGATGATGGCAAGGCCTCATCGTGGGAGAAGATGCCGGCGTTCCACCCCGATTTTCTGGAGCTCTGTGTGCTTGTTATGCCTAATTATATTTTATTCTTTGCTGCCTCATAATTATCGCTCTGGGAGATTTGGGAATAGGATTCAAAATTATACTAAAATATTTAATCATACTAATGATACTTATGATTATGGATTTTCAGGAGATGGCTTATGGCAGTGGGGCCCAGAAGGGGACAACAAACCTATGTAGGCATT